ATCACAGAGGAAGTGATCTCAGGAGAGGCCGTGCTTGATTTCTTAGATCGGTCTCAGAGCGATTTTGATTTTGAAGTTCTCTCTCTCGATTTCGAAGATTCACTGCGAGGTATTGATTTCTCTCTCTCTCTCTCATCCTTCCTGTCTCTCTCGATTTGGTTATTGAGATCTATTGCTTATTTGTGTTATGTGTGTGTGTGTGTATATATATATAAATGTTTGGTTTCGTTATTTTTTTTCCCCCTACTATGTCACTGTTTAGCTTACCTGAAATCCTTGTTACATTTTTCTAGCCATCTGATATGTAAAGTTTTTATTTCCTCAAACTCCTCATTTATGACATCTACATACTTAGCATTTTTATTCTTTTTTCTATGAAGAAATGATTGATTGGAATATGCACCTATAGTCTACACTCCTACGGTTGGTCTTGTTTGCCAGAACTATAGTGGATTGTTTAGAAGGACCAGGGGGATGTATTTCAGTGTTGCTGATCGTGGGGAAATGATGTCAATGGTGTATAATTGGCCAACTGATCAGGTCTGCAGTACTTTTGATTAACAATCTGTTTGTTAAAGCTTTATTATGATTGTTTGATACATCATGTTGTAGATTGGAACCTTTCAAGCTTTTCTAGACATCAAACTTTTGACTCAGAATATCTATTATTGTTTTGACTTGCAAGATTGTTCCATTACTCTTTGCCATCTATGACGGACTGGAAATAACTTGGCTTTAATTTTTTTTGGTTTCTCCCATTCTTCGAAGTGTTTCTAAAATATAACAGCTATTAGCTTCTGTGTCCTTTTCATTTTGGTTTCATATTTGCAATCTTGAATTTCACTTTTGCTAGATGCCTGAATGTTTCATTTTTGGCTTTCATTAGATCTCATTTACGAGTTGCTTACCATGAAGTTTGTTATCTTTCAGTGTTAGCTCGATGCAAACATTGTACTTTACTTACTGTACTTGATTTTTTATCACTGCTCTAGAATGTTGATACAGAACCTTCTGTTGTAAGTTGATATGATTGTTGTAACAGATGGAAACAGAATATTGGGTCTCGGTGATCTTGGACTGCATGGTATTGGAATTGCAATTGAGAAGCTGGATTTATATGTTGTTGCTGCTGGGATAAATCCTCAAAGAGTATCTTCTTGCTTTACGTAGCTTTGTATTTTGCTCTAATATTTCAGATTTATATTTTTGTGAACAAATGCATGTAAAAACAATAATATGCATAACTGACTTTGAGTATGATTTGAACTGGTTTTATTTATATTTCAATCTTTTCTATACATAAAAAGATTTTCTTTTATATGAATCTTGTTGAATTGTTGCCTTTGACCAGTGGGCTAGCAATAGTGTCTACTACCTTCTTGGGCAATGGTCCAGATTGGTGACTTATGTACCATATTTGAAGGGCAATGCACCAAACCTACTAAAGGAATTTGTGCCTAAGATCATATAACATTTTATCTCATCAAAATTTGATTCTATTTAGGTTAGATTACATTTTCTTTTTCAGCTGATGATTCTATTCATCAAAATTTTATTTTTGTTTCTCTCAGTTGGCTTAAAATCTTTCATTTGACTGCAGTATGAGATCTATAGCACATATATAATGCAGATTACTAATCCTCTCTTGCAAATGTATATATATGGTAAGGCCCAGTAGCATTTTGTGCAATTCCATCATCGTTCTTGATATTTGTGAAATTCTCCATGTGAAGATTATGATTCTTCCATTATTTCAATTTCATTTGTATAGGAAGCAGACAATGCCCCAGCCCTCTCAGATAATAGTGAACTTCTTGTTGTTGAAGCCAAACTTTCTTGGATAGTACATATAATTGCAGCTATTCTTAAGGCAAAGGAATTTAGTGGTGTAAGGTCATTATACTCCTGTTAATTGTAGTCAGACATTTTCGGAGTGCGTTGTGTTTCTTATCATGTGTTACATCTCTTCTTTTTTATTGTGGAATCATATGAAATACGTGATGCAGAACTTTCAGCACGTGTGTTGTGCATGATAAATGTGACTGATAGTGGATTACATAGTATCAATAGAAAAAATGGCCATCTGATTTCTTAGTTTCTTAGTGCAACATAAAATCTAATCTTTATAACAAAACACAACTTTTGACTTTTTTGTTCAAGGTGCTTCATGGAAATTAACATACATATGCATGATATTTTTAGGTGAAATAGACAAATTTAATTAACATGAATCTGTCATATAAAATTATAAATCTATCTTATTGTGCATGTGCTAACTAGATGAAATCATTATGCATGTATTAGTCATACTGATGCATTTGTATTCATTTTTTTGGTGTTGGGTTACTGATACATGTGTATTTATGGAACATTGTTACTCTAATGAATTTGTGATTTAGGGGTTGTTTGGAGTGTCCTAAATAAATGTACTTTTTGTCTTTTTAGACTAAAAAGTTGAGGAAAAAAATATGGTTGTTCGGGTTAACTTTTTGAATTTTTATGGAAAAATGTGTATTAAAAAATTGTATAAATTAGTGTGTAGGAGAAAATTAGGATTGGGAGTTATGCAGCCGCAATTTTTGACTTTTGGTGAATAGTGATAACTTTTTAACTTTTTGAGTAATTTTTTCGCTTTTTGACTTTTTGGCAACTTCCCAAACTTGGCCTTAATACTGCACCAGCGTGCTTACTTGCTTTTTAAGTTCAGGATAACAAAATTCAACGTAAGGATAAAAATATTAGCTCTAATTAAATGCACCAAATGCTGGGCATTTAAATAATAGTGTGGGACTTTTGGGTGGTCTGCTTCTTTGACTAACAGAAAATCATGAAACTGATGGGGCGAAGCACACTCTTATAAACTCCCATCTAAAGTTTGATTTTGATTTCTCAAAGAGAGTCTTCGAGAGTGACTATTGTGGACTGTTAAGGTCTGAAATTGGTGTAACAAAGGGTTTGGTTTTGGAGTTATGCTAGTATTTAATTAATTACTCTTATGGTTATAGTTGCCTGAGAAGATATACAAGACTTTGGATGAATCTACCAAAATCCTAAGATTTAAAATTCCATTCCCCATATTTGCATACCCTATATATTTGGTGAGAATCTGTCTATCTAGTTGTTTATGACACCGTTACTTACTTGCATCACCATGGCTATCAACAAAAGCTTCCTTGGTACCGCGAAAAGGTACTAACAATTTTTTGTTCTCAGTTTTTCCAAATATGCTTAGTTTTAATCAATTCAAAGAAAAAAAAAAAAACCTTCCCCCATTCTTATGTTTCTCTCTAGAGAGATTGTAAACAGGAATTGAGCTACTTAAAAGGAGGGCTAACAACCGTTGATTGCGATTATGAATGGATGAACATTCCACAATGACATTGGTTTAATTGCGAGAAACTAAGGCTGTGTTTGGTATAGATGGATTAACATTCCACAATGACATTGGTATAATTGTGAGAAACTAAGACTGTGTTTGGTATAGCTTTTCAATTACAATTTCACCTCTTCACGTGAACAAGGTGTTTGGATGGGCTTTTCAAAAATTAATTTCACCACACATTTCAAAATACATTTCTATTTCACGTTTGGCAGAGCTCATTCCAAAACAAAGTTCCAATGCAAAACTCTTTCCGTTTCATACAGTTTTTGAATTTTTTGAGTCTATGGGACATCCCCCGAACATCCCTCCGGATGTCCAGCCAATTGAGCACTACAATGGTTTTTTTTTTTTTTTTGGGAACTCTTCATACATACATACATACATACATGTGTTTGTGCTATTGTAAACTAATTTTCTGTCGAAAGCGAATAAAAAAATTGAATAAAATTGAATTGTGTGTGATAAACTGTGTAGATGCTAACAAAATAATATTTTAATTTTTGTTTGACTCTCACATACATAATATTTTTGGCTATTTATTTGAAAATAACAAAACAATAAATAGCAAATAATTCGTGACAGTAATTATTAAAACTATAAAAATATTTTAACTGAAAAATATTTATAAAAAATTCGAACCAAATATACAATCAAAAGTTATTTTAAATCAGTAACTGAATATTTATTTTGAAAAAAAAAATTATTGCCTTTGTAATATTTTCAATTAAAAAAATCGATTAATATTATTTTCTGTTAATAATTAATTTTTTTAATTGAATTTTAAAAAGAATTTGTTCATTGTTCAGAATTTTCAATAGAACTTTGAGTAGTATTTTTGGTTATGAGTTATAACAATTTGAATTAAGTTTTAAAAATTCTTTTCAAATTTTATAACCAAATAAATTTTCTTATTTCACATGTCACGTTAAACATTAAAAACTCAATTCAACATTCAACTCAAAACTGAATTCAAAACTCTTTTCAAAACTAATAACTAAACAAATTTTTTACACTCAAATCATAATTATAAAACTTACAAACTCAAAATATAACTCGATTCTCAAATCATATTTAAAAAATTCTACCAAAACCGACCTTTGTTTTTTTGGTACGTTATGCCTACCGGGAAGAAGTGGGACCCTTGATCTTGTAGCGTTGCTTTTCTAGTTTAAAACTTTTTTCCTTTTTCGAATTTTTCATATTACAAAAGGAAAATATATATATATATCTCGCTAAACAATAAATTAGAAAAATTTTTAAAAAAATTAACATAAAAATAAATTAGTTAGCTTTTTCAATGTCATCCTATTGGATTCGGCAATTTTTTGGTAAATAATTTTTTATTTTATAAAATCTAAAAAAAATTGGTGCATTTAAAATTTTACTTTCTGTTATGAAAAAATAGTTTGTGAAACTTTTTTAACTAGTTACTTTTTTGTGAAAAATTATCACATTACATTACCCTTAAAATGTTGTAAAGCCTTTTGTTAAATAAATTTTTTACTTTTTGACTTTCTTAGTTGAAAAGCAACTTATTTCGTGATTGCAAGGTTTATCACATGAAAAAAAGTAGTTGCCAAACAAAATCACAAATACAATGTGCAAAAACATCTATATCTTGATTTTGAAAATGTAAATGCATACAACTAAAACCACCTTGATGAGATTTTATATTGAACTCACCAACTTCAATTCAGATTAGTGAACAACTACGAAGTTGCAAAGTGACAAAAGCCACAAAAAGGAACCAAAAGGAGGGAATTTTAGTGATCTATGTCTTCTTCTATCAACAACCTCTGGTTATATAAACAATTCTCTCATGTAGAGGCAGGCATATATTGAATCTCCCAGACGTTCTTCATGCTAAAAATTCTATCTCAGCGGTTTAGAAGGTACCCGAGCATGACACTGACAAGTGCCACCATACAAACAAATAGGAAAGGAAATCCTGCATGAACTTTTCGTACAACTCTCTTGCTCATCAACAAAGTCTGCAAAAGCAATTAAGCCAATGTCAAGAAGCAAATCCAACAAGTATGTCTCCAAAAGTGAAAGTCGTAGAAAAAAAGCAAAAATGCAAAAGCGATGCATTGACTATCTTATAGATTTGCTAGAAATTTTCACCCCCCACTTGGGTTATTTGTTTTGAGAGTGAAAATAGCACAAAATACAAGAGTTTCAAAATGAAAATTTTGGAGATCAAGAAAGAACTAGAAACCGATTACCATACAAGTTTGTTAAGCAAAGGTCCATTGAAGAGGTCTAAAGATGTTATTAATGACTATTTTCACCTATTGGTTCTTATGGTATTCTAAGAAAATGGTTCTCTATCCAATACAGATACTCTTCACGCAACTTTTGCGAGTACAAACTAAGCCACTGGATCTTGGATTCATAGGTCGGAAAGGGTTTCAATGGCTAAGTGGGTTTATAACTCATCTTAACGGCCATTGCTGTTAGCCTTCATTTAAGTTGCTCCCAAGAGCAATATCAACAGTGCCTTTAAATAAAGACAATATAATGGAACTCCATTTAAATATCATAGAATAGAGTAACCGGGCCCTTAGATACACTGCTGGTGTACATGAAAACACTAAACAAGAAGAGAATGCAATGATGTAGTACCAATTCTTGCCGTAAACTTTCCCTCTCTTGAGCATTCAATCTCCTCTCCTCTGTTAGTTTTGAAATGATAACTTCAGCCTGCAAAAGTAAATTCGGAAAAATCATGAGCACTGTTCTTTGAACATATAGCAGTGGAAAGGCAATCATAAACCACTTTCTAAATCCATTAAGTGTATTAAATTTGGAAATTTAACAGAATGTTTCAGTCTTCAAATTATTGACCATTCCATTTTATCCTCAACTGGCAGGCATTCTCATCCTACAAAGTGTTCACAGCAGGAAATGAAGCCAAGTGCATAATTGATGCTGAAGCATTTTTAATGTGGTAAATTGTATCGATATTGATATTGAAACTTGACTAGAAATATAAGGTTTTGATTGTCACAATTGGGAGTGCAAGGACCAAAGTGAAATAACTATAAGGGTAAAGTGCAAGGCTGTATGGTATAATATTCTCATCTTTATGGAATCTCAAGCCAATCTGTCCGCATAAAAAGGGCAACCAAGTCCACAAGGATCCCACAGATTATCATATCTTTCACATGGATTGAAAATAAAATATATCTAGAAGAAATTAGGTATAGCTTCCATATTAACAAGCTCTCATAAATGTATCCCTCATATAAAAAAAAACCAGAGATGTTGGAGGCATAAAATATCAAACTAGGTATAGCTGCCAGAGAAGTCTCATTAAACCCAGGTACCCTAGGAACTAACCAGCAAACAAGGAAAGCCACATGATTAATACAAGTAGTTGGAAACCAGAAAACCAGGAGAAAACTGACCTCACTTAGTTTTGATTCAAGTCCATTTAGTTTTGACTTCATTTCCGAAACATCTTTAACCAACTTCAGCTCCTCCATATCATTCATTGTTTTATGTTCTACATCTGTTATTGGCTCATCCACATCCATCCTTGTTTCATGCTCTACCTCTGTTGTTGGCTCATCCTCTTCCTTCCTTGTTTTATACCCGACATCCATTAAAGGCTCATCCGCATCCTTCCTTGTTTTATACTCTAAATTCTTTGCTGAATTTGCCTCCTCACTATTTTCCACTTTGGACTCCACATCCTCAGTAACCTGACACAAACGAAAAATCAAAATCACAAATATACTATATTTTCAGATACAACACCAAGGGAAAAGAACTTCATTATAATATGACAGATAGCTTGAGTCATATGCTGAATCCCTAACTCAAATCTCTTTCCTAACTGGTCAATTTCCAGAACATAATGAAGCTCCAATGTAACCATTAGATTCACATGTACAATTCCCCGAATAGACTTACATCATGTTGATGTCCACATATAAAATGTACATAGATGAGCCTAATATCAAAGTAAAAGGAGAATCTCTTACTGTGTGACGTTGGGTAAGGCTTTCGTCTTTCCTCAGCACTTGATCTTTCAGTATTGAAGGTTCATAAGCTGGCACCTGTTTCAATGTTCTATTGATTGGTGAAAGTACCGGGAATTTCCTCAGCACTTGATCTTTCAGTATTGAAGGTTCATAAGCCAGCACCGGTTTCAATGTTCTATTGATTGGTGAAAGTACCGGAGAATTGGGGGGACTGACAAGGACCACTTTCAGCTTGTTCTCTTCAACGTATCTAACATCATCTTTGGCAAACTGCCAAACTAAACCGTGAGAAACCAGAATAGTAAATCAGGACCAACAACTTTATATACAACTACAAAACAACTTACAATGCTAGGAGTAATATCATCATCACTGGTCCCTGCAGGAACAACTGTGCTCTGAACTAAAAACTGGTCTTTGCATATCATGTCAGGAGGAGCCACCCTTTGTGCTTGCATCTTAACTACATAACACCAAATTTGTCAACCATGAACAACCATAGACAAGGACAACAAACATTTAGATAGTATGATGAATGTAGTAGATGTGAACACAATATTTGAATGTATCAACATTTTCTAAAATCTGCAATAATATATCAAGTTTATTTCAGATGGCAGTTTAAAGATTGTGTAAATTTAATAATGTGCAAAGAGATTACTTTTGCTGCCTTTCTTTTTTTAATTTTCCTCTTTTTTATCTAAGGACATTTCCCAGTGATGGGAAAATAATGATATACTAATCTGAGTCTATAAATTTATCTATATCCACGAAATTGAAAACTGTCCTTTTACCTTAACCAAAACAAAAAGAATCCAAAAAATTGCCTCCGATAATGCACAAACATTGTAAGAAAAATTGGAGGGCCCGAGAAGCTCGGAAGATCATCTGAATGAGTATTGGTTGGAGCTAGAGGGAAAAAAAGTTAAAGCCATGGCCTTTCCTTCCTTTCCTAACAAAATTCCATAAAAATCCATAAACTTCATAACTTTTTTCATTTGGTCCAATGCTCCCAACACCCCTATCATCAGTCTATTTATCAACTAGCATTCCAACAACAATGATGCCTAATATGATCACCCCAGGATAACCCCCTATGCTTTTAAACTAAAATAGCTTGGCATGCAGCCTTCTATGAAACATCTGCACAATTTTAATTCAGGGTTTGAATTATCACTCCATGACAATAGTCTACATGCATATTCAAGATCATCTGTCCTAAAATAAGAAATCCTAAAATAAAGCACAAACAAATAAATCAATTCCAAAAATATTCCGTCCTTGCCTCAGATAGATATGAATGACGGATCCCCATCAGTTACTGCTATCCAACTAATTTCAAATACCCTTTACTAAAGTTTTTCAATTCAATTACTAATAAAATGAGAAGTATGCACTCCTTACTCAATTGTTGATACGAATATATATAGGTAACCAATTTGTACGTGTGCTTTAGAAAATGCAGCAAGTATTTATTCATTTTTCTTCTTTTTTCTGAAAAACCTTATGTTACATTAACTTTCACTTACAATAAAAGTTACAAGACGTACCAGTGAATTCACAAGTTGATTTTGGCTTAATAATGGCTCTGTTCGGTCGCACGGAATATTTTTTTGGAGATGTAGCTTTAACCTGCCAAAAAATCCATTGATTATATTTCCACCCACCATTCCATTTAGAAAATGCAATATTTCACTAGTACTACTCATGCGAATAAAACATGATTTGTTTGTACCTTAAACGCAACATGGTTGTTGGACTTATTGAAGAGTCGAACAGAGCACGTTGACTGCTTCTTCAATTCAACTATAAAAGAAAAAAAGGAATAATATTAGGGCATGTTAATCAATTAGTTTGAAATTCGAAACACAACAAAAACAAATGAAATAATATGTTGAAATAAAACAAATTCGCTCCCAGTAAGAAATTAAACCAATTTGTTTTCATTTTTGGTATCTTGTTAACATGATAAGAAAGTCACGGCAATTTTTTATTTTTTTTCCCAAAATAAAAAAATAATGCATCAACAATGAATTGTACTCTTTATTCAAAAAGATTGCTTTAGATAACCAATTGTTAAGTGAACAAAGAGTATATATAAAATATAATATGTACTAATATTTACAAAATCAAATGTATGGAATTGAGAGACTAGGAAAACAGATGATCGAGATTGATAAGACTCACATATGAACTTGAGTTCACGGGGATGAATTTCTAAAAGCTCTTCGGTAGTTTCTGCCAACTTCCTTTTCAAGTCAGCCACTTGAAGTTCTTCCTTAATGTCATCTGTCACCTTCTGAAACTTATTTTGCAATTTTCCATTTTTACTGCCCTTTTCCTTTGAAGAATAAGCTGAATCCGAGTCCGAGCCGGAGGAAGAAAAAGAAAAAGAATAATCTCTATTCCCATCTTTTTCATCCTCCACTAATGTCTTCTCCACCGACTTCCCGCCGCAGCTGCCAAAAATCGATCGCAGAAACCGGGAAAACTTTGAGGGTTTTTTAATAATGGATTGTGGTTGCTGATCCATTGTAATTCTTGGTTGGGAAAAAAGACAGAAGAGAGTTGTAGAGATTGCGGTAGAGATGTAGAGATGTAGTGAGTGGCTTTTATCGTGAGAGGGAGTTCATTTTTTTCCATATTCTTGTTTTGGTAGTTTCTTTTTTTCATATAAAATTGGGGCATCAAATGGAAAGTATTCACATTTCCATTCCACATTTCCTTAACTCTCTATCTCTCTCTCTCTCTCTCTCAGAGTGTGTGTGTACGCGTGTGTGTGGGAGATGAAATGTTTCATGATCAACATTTCTTAAATTGCAAAGTAAGTTGAGTAGTTAATAATTTTTTTTTTTTTGGAAGTAATGGGAGATGAAAATTTCGTTCTAATCATCCTATTGTATTATTGTGTTGAAAATAAATTTCTTTTTGTCGAGCGAAATTTTTTTAAATTGAATTTTTCTCTATTAAAATATTGAGAGAACTGAACTAATATGAAAATATTGTATG